TCGTCTGCGATGTGATCGTCCTCGTAGTCCTCTGGTCGGTCCATCGGCTCGTCCACGTAGTCTTTGTACTAGATCGATCCACTGACAGTCTCCGGCTTCGCGAGAATTCTCTCAGCCGTCGATAGGGGTAATCGGTAGTCCTCGTCCTTGCATTCACGTTGGTGTCGTTCTTCGGGTAGTTCGGCTCTCAGCTGCGCGTCCGTTGTCCTGAGCAATTTGTTACCATGCACGCACCAAGTCACTGATTGCCTGAGCTTGTCCGGGTCGTATGCGCACTTGACCTTTGTCACCATGGCGGGTCCTGTCCAGTAGCTCTTGATGTCGCTCTCACCCTCGTCACGCCTCCAGGGGTACCCCCGCTCGCCGATCTGGAACTTTCTCGAGAGGGGCCGGTTCCTTGCTGCCAGCGCCTTCACACTGCGCGCGCCTAGTTGGTCGCCAGGAATGTCTTGCCAGCATCTTTCCTGCGCCCCCAGGTTCTTGTAGAACTTCTCGTAGTGCTCGCCCAGGTCGCCCGTCGTGGTGGGCTCGTCCGCTAGGCCGCCCAGATCGCGGGGCTGCCGACCCAGCGCTCGCTGAAAAGGCGTGAAGCCCATCACGTTACGCAGCGTGTTCCTCACGTCCTGCGTCATGCGCACCGTCATCTTCAGGCTGACGTCCGGGTGGTCCGCGGGATATGTAGCGATCTGCTCGCGTCGCACTTGGTGGTTTCTCTCCAAGAAACCAAGCTTGTGGTGCGCGTCTCTGGGTATCAGCTGCAACTTGATCTGCCAACTCGCACCACTCGCCGAACTCTTCACTCATATGAGCCCCACTCTGATCTGCCCGTTTCTTTGCCAGTGCCCCGGCCCGCTGGATCCAGTGCTTCTCGATCGCTTTGATCTCGGTACTGGCCTTATCGTCGCTCGCCATCGCGTCCACCTCCTATCTCGAGTTTTCATCCATGATCGTGAAGATCATCTTGCGCTTGTCTTTCCACATCACGTGGAAGGTGCCGATGTTGATCGTGTCGTTGGAGCCTCTGTCCCTCGGGATGCGGGCGATCCTCGCCGCCTTCGGCCTCAACCTCTTCAGGCATGTCTCGCATGTGTAGATCCCCGCTCAGCGGATGGGACGGTCCTCCACGTTCATCTCCTTGAGCGCCGCCGCCAGCGCTTCGCTCGATGGGTGTCCCTTCTGGATCTATACCTTCTTGACCGACTTCACCTCTTCGATCATAAACTTCTTGGGCAGGGCCTTCCATGTCATCCGGTTCACTGTCCTATCGAGGCTCTCCTGCGACATCTCCTCCACCGCGCAGCTGGACTCGTCCTGCGGGCCCCCGTCGATGCACATCGCCGCCTGCAGCGCCACCTTGCGGGGGGGCAGTTCTCCCGCCTCTCATTTTGTGAGCTCCTTCTGGCAGTGTCTGTCGTACCGTGCAGCTGCATCGCCTCCGGAGTCCTTCTTTGCATCTCCCAGTTGGTGGTTCGCTCGTTCGTAGGCTTCTGAATCGGTCCCAGCCGCCTGCCTTCAGAATCTGTAGCTATCAATCCGTACGCGCAGTGGTCCACAAACGGATCGTAGCCCGACATGCCTGTCCACGCGTCGGTCTTCACGAATTAGCGTACTGGGGGTGCTCTATGTGCGCGTGCCGTTCGGATGCCTGCTGAATCTCGTAGATGTCGCGGCTGAGCTGTAGAAACTCCTTCTTCTGCTTGTCACGCTCGCGCGTGCGCTGCTGCCAGTAGTCGTCGTCCCTGCCAGCCTCGTTCAGCGTGTTGATCGCAGACCACAGCGTGCATGGCGGCGCTATCCACACCTCCTATGGCGTTTCCTTCTCCAGCTTGTGGAATAAAGCAATCCGGTGAGCTGTCTTCTTGAAATCCCAGCCCGTCTCCAGTGCGAATTTGCGCCGCCTCGAAGTCGCCACGCTTCTGCACATGTTAAGATATGCGGCCTTCCGTCACAAAGACCTCCCATAGCTTCCGCTTGACTTTGGGCTTCTCGTCTAGTGTGCGGTTCACCTGCTTGAACCTGTCTCGCAGCTGCTTCGCCTCGAAACCATTCATCTCCGCGTTCTCCTTCTCCTTGCCATAGCTGCTCGTCACGTGGTAGTCCGTTTCTTTGTTGCGCTTTATTTGGTGTTCACTGTCAGTGTGGACATCTGTTGAGCTTGTTTCGTCGTTCGCCGCCATCGCTTCCACTGGGAAGCTCAACAGGTTGAGTATCATGTGGCCTTTCTCGTTCGTCTCGATGTCTGTCCATTCTGGCGGGTCCTCGTCTAGATACATTGCCTTCTTGTTGCGATAGTCGATCACCATGCCCCACTTCGCTCAGCAGGGTCTCGCCACCAGCAGGGACACCTTCCTGGACAGCAGGTGCACTGGTATCTTTCGTTTCTGCTTGCGCACCCATGCCGGCAACGTCAACGTCTGCTTTGCCGCCGACGTCTCGTCGTTGCCGAACCTGAACGTCCTGTGGCACCTCTCTCTGTAGTGATCTCTTTGGTGAGGCCTGCGGACGTCATCTTCTTCCTCCATTCTGGCCATTTGTACAAGTCCATGACTGGCTTCGTAGCTGCACTGTCGCCAACCCTTTCTCCCGTAGCCAGGTTCACCTCTTCTACCATCACGTCGCCGTCTTCATCCTGCACGATGCCTTTGATGATGCCATTCGGGATCTCGAACACCATTTTTGTGTCCTCGGTACCTCCTCCTCGTCGCGTCGTCTCTTGGACCTCTGTTCGTGCGACTGTGCAGCTCCTGATGCGAAGGTCTTGGGAATGCCGTCAGGGTGTCTCGCTTTTTGTGCGCCTTTTCCGCCTCCGTGTGGTTTCCTGCCGCCACGTCTGCCTTTAGCTTTTTTTCTTTGCTCGTGCTCCCACGAGACCCTCCAGGGTTCTCTCCTGTACCTTTTCCTCTTGTGTTGCTCGATCTAGAGGGTCCACACTCGTCGATCAAGACCACCACAGGGTGTAATCATCTCGCCGTCGCCAGCTCTCTCATCTTCGCCCTCGCATCCGTGCAGTTGGCAAGCGCTTCCTCCGTCGCCTCGTAGGCTTGCTCGAGCTCCTCTGGGATGCCCTCACCACCGTCAGACCACTCGGTATTGTCTCCGTAGTAGGCTTCTCCGTAATCATCGTGAGGATTGTACTCCTCTTCGCGGCCGTAGTACACGTCGTCGTCTTCCAGCTCGAATTCCTCGGCACAGTACCCGTGTTCGGCATGCTTTTTGGATTTGTAGGCACTATTCACGCGATTGATGTCTCCCTTATGTGCGACGCTGTTTTCTCCGAACATCGTCTTGAGAGCGTCCGTCACGACCTGCACGCTCAGCTTGTTGTTGCACAGTGCCTTGAGGTTTGGCGTCTGCCATTGCGGCACGCCAGCTCTCGTCATCAAGTGCCATCCTGCCAGGAGGTCAGGCAGATCCAGTCCAGCCTCTCGTAGTTTTGACAACTCCTGTCCGTGTCGCAGCACGTACACGTTGAATGTCTCCTGGGGTCTGTGGCTGAACTCTCTAAAGCACGCATCACACCTGCTCAGCAACTCCACCTCCTGGGTGTATCGGTACAGCACGTTCAACTTGCCCAATATTTCGTCGAATGCCTCTTCGATGTCCATTCTCTCGAAACTCGTTATTTCGCATGTGTCCCACGCGTCTCCGTGCATGCTCTGCAAGAGGAGGTAGGCTCCTCCACTCACGACTGGTGCACCACGCTTTGTACACAGCCTTTGGAACACCGTCGCCCTCGCTCTGAAGTTCTGGAACGCGTCATACTTCAGGTCTTTGGCCTCTGGACAGCACTTTGCGAGCCCAGCGTCCATCTGATGAGTTCGCTCGTGCCACCGACCGTTTCGCTGGCTGTGCTCCTCTGGTTCAGCTAGGTCGCTGTCGTCTTCCCTCGGCATAGGTGTCCCCGCCGCCTATGCAGCCGCAACTTCAGCCGCATCTCCGCCGTCTCCGCTGGCAGGATCACCTGGAGGTCGTGGAGGCGCTCGTCCTCCATTGCCTTTGCCCTTGCCGCCAGGCTGGCGGCCAGGGAGCATCTTCTCAAAGAACTCAGAGAGATGCTTTCGACCCTTTTCGCCGCGGATCTGGAGTCACTTGGCTCCGCTACCAGTGTCGGCAGCGCATTCTGCAACGCCGAAGTCCCTTCGCACGAGGTTAGGAAAAAGAAACACGACATGCATGAAACGGGGTAGATCGATACCAGTCGCTCGTAGCTTGTGTGACTCGGGGGCCCCTCAGTAACCTTCGATGCAACACAGCGGCGGGTGCACGCTCGTGTCACAGCACGCTCGTGCCGGCACTCCCGAACCGCCGTGCTCTCCCAGGGCCGTCCCTCTGGACGTATGCCGGCGCCTCGCCTCGCCTCGCCCCCCCCTGCACCGGTGCAGCCGGGGGCTTCGGGCGCACCCTCCGGCAGCGTGCGCCGGGCGCCTCCCTCTGCTCGCCCGCCGGGCCCCTGCCCTTGCCGCCCCCCCCCGCCCCGTGCCGTGCCCCGCCGCCCCTGCCCCTGCCCCTCCCTGCCCCGTGCCGCCGCCGCTCCTCGCGTGCCCTGCCGCTTCCCCGTGCACGGGCCCCGCCCTCGCCCCTCCCTCTCTTCCTGCCCCCCTCTGCCCGTGCCTCCCCTCCGTGTCCGAGCGCGGGGCCCGAGGTGCGGCCGCGCTCGCAGGGCGGGCGTGGCGTGCGGCTGTGGGCCTCGTCTCGGTGTCCGCTCCACTCTTCTCCAGCTCTGCCCGTTCCGGGGGCAACGTTCAGGCGGGGTGACGGGCTCAGCGGGGATAGGCTCGGGGAGCGTACGATTTGCCATCGGGCCTATCGCCGATCCGTCGGCGATATATATATAAATATATATATATATATATAATATATATATATATCTCTATCGCCGATTCCAGCTCGAGGCCCCCCCCCCCCCCCTTGCCCGTCCTTCCCCAACGTTCCCCCTCACCGTTTCTCCTTCCGCCCCCCGCCCGCGACGCCTGTGTGGTAGACTGCTCCCTCCCCGCCCGAGGACGACATGGCACACGGCCAGGGCAGGCGAGCAGAGCCGCCCTTCGCGCTGCGCCGGATTGCTCAGTGGGGCTGGTGCGCGTCTGTTCTGCTCAGGGGCAGCGCTCGGGGGGTAGCGGTACGCCTCGAGACGCCTCGAGATGAAGTTTCGATTCCGAGGTTTTCGAGGTTTTCGGTAGTTTTCGGCAGTTTGCGTCGATGCTCGGCGGTTTTCGAGCCTCGGGATGTCTTCCAGCAGCTGCGCCTCGCCGGGAGCTTTCCGAGGGTGCCGGGATCGTCCCGAACGGCCGCCAAAGAGCCGAGCTATGACCCGAGAACCAGGGGCAAAAGGGTGGGGGATAGGCCCCTGGAGGGGATGCATCGCCCCCCCCAATCAATTACTGATCGCCGATAGGGGCCTGATAGCCCACCGCGCCCAGGAACGTGCGGATTCGCTATCGGGGGCCCATCGCCGATCTATCGGTGATGTATCACCGATTCCAGACCTGCGTGCGGCCCCTGACACGAGAAGGGAATTGTCCGCCGAGCAGGGGCGCCCCCCAGAAATGTTTGCCGCGGAACGCGTGAGGGGCGCGCCGAGATGGGTGCGGCGCCGCTATGCGGACCCCCCGCTGTTGTCTTCGGCGGAGCTCCCTATGGGGCCGCGGAGCGTTTGAGGGGTCTGACACAGGAGTGCCAGGATGATATGATGATGATGGTGATGATGATGATGATGGTAATGATGATGATGATGATGATGATGATGATGATGATGATGATGATGATGATGATGATGATGATGATGGTGCTGATATTGCTACTGATGATGATGCTGATGATGAGGAGGATGGTGCTGATGCTGATGCTGATGACGAGGATGAGGATGAGGATAAGGATGATGATGCTGATGCTGATGCTGCTGATGTTGATGAAGATGCTGCTGCTGCCGATTATGATTATAATGATGATGATGCTGATGCTGATGCTGATGCTGATGAGCATGATGATGAGGATGAGGATGAGGATAAGGATGCTGATGCTGGTGCTGATGCTGCTTCTGATGACGATGATGATGATGATGATGATGATGATGATGATGATGATGATGATGATGATGATGATGATGATGATGATGATGATGATGATCACGTTGATGCTGATGACGATGAAGGTGACGATGATGATGAGGATGAGGACGGTGATGCTGATGATGCTGATGCTGATGCTGATGCTGATGTTGATGATGGTGATTCTGATTAGCACTACCATGCTGATGCTGATGCTGATGCCGATGACAACGCGGACGCAGGTTCTGATGCTGATGCTGATGCTGTTGATGATGATGATGATTCTGATTATGATAACGATTATGAGGATGATGAGGATGCTGCTGCTGCTGCTGCTGATGCTGATGATGATGCGGCTGCTGCTGATGATGATGATTCCGCTGCTGATGATGACGATGATGATGATGACAATTACGATGATGACGATAGTGACGATGATAATGAAGATGCTGATGATTATGATTATGATGGTGATAGTGGTGGTGGTGGCGGCGGTGGCGGTGGTAATGAGGATGATGCTGATGTTGTTGTTGGTGGTGGTGATGATGACTATGATGACGATGATGATGCTGCTGCTGCTGATGATCATGATGATGCTGATGTGATGATGATGATGGTGATGATGGTGATGATGCTGATGATGATGATGATGATGAAGATGATGATGGTAACGGTGTCCGATGTATGATGAAGATGATGCGATGAAGCCATGCGGAAGGCAGAGGCAAGGAGAGGAGCAAGGGAGGAGGGGGAAGGAGTGCCGAGTGAGGACTTGTGGCGCCGTGGATTCAAAACGGGTGCCCGATTCAACACAGGATGGTTTGGCAAAACACTGTAAGTCAAGCATTTTCGCATGACTGCTATACACGCATCGATTTCTGTGGTTCCCCGCCTAGTTCCCCAACTGTTCTACAACCTTTGTCATTTCATGCCCGCAGGGGTACTTCTCAGCAACTTGTCTAATCACAAGCTGTCGCACCCCCACCAGCGGCCACCACTGCTGGTTGTATGAGCCTAAACATTCACGTGTCATGTGTTTGTGCATACATGTGTTTATTTTTGGTGTGTCTATCCGTAGCCCTGTTGCTCAAGATGATGTGGTGGTGGGCAGCAAGTCGAATCCATCTGGTTTCTGTTCGCCGTCCTTCCCGTCACAGGAAAAGAGCTTTCGATGTGTGCGCTCTGCGCGCTGTGCTTTTCGCGCTTCCCATATCCTTGGGCCTCTGCTCAACAGAGTTTCCTCGAGGACTCGGACAAACTCCTTCTTCTCCGGTCGAATGTCCTCCCACTACACAAAGAGATCCGTGTCAGCAGCCTGGCGTAAACCCTTGGCTCAACAAGCGAGCTCGTGGACTTGAATGTGGCCCGAAACCCACTGTGGCATCCGCTACTTCCTCGGACGACCGCATGGACAGTCAACGCAGCCATCTGGGCCTCCCAAGTCTTCCTCCAGCACTAGCTGGAGCTCAAGCTCGTGCATGTCAGGGCCGAGGTCGTCGCAGAGTTTGGAGAGCAGCTCAATGGACTCCTGGCGGCGATATCAAAACGTTGAACTATATCAAAACCTTGAAGGAGCCATCAACTAGACTGGAACTCGAACATGAGAAGCTCTGGAATCATATCAAAGAGATGCGGGCGCAACTCTTCATGCAGGAAGCCCAGATACACATCAGAGACTACGAGGACCTCCTCGAGTAGGACCGCGACGCCGACACCAGTATCGTCGTCGGCACGGCATTTGATACTTTCACGACTGAGCAGTTCAAGCACAGCGTCCGTCCCATCCTCGACAAGCGCGAGCTCGAGGAATTTCAATGGGAGGTTCATGGCAAAACGCCCTCACGGCGATTCATCTTCCAGTTCAAAGACGAATCCAATGCGGCTGCCCGCAAAGTTCGATCCTTCTGCACGAAGCTTCGTGGTACCGACGGCTCATTGCTCAACACAGAGGTCGATAAGACAACTTTTTCTGGCAGATTTCCAGGCTGTTCCTTGGCTTGGACATATCAGCTAAGTCGGCAAGGCGAGAGTTCCAGACCAAGACGCTGCCCCAATTCTCACGCCACCACGACGCCTCCAATTGTTGGCTTGCTGGCAGACAGCAAGTCGTCTTGTATTGCAGTAAACTGCCTGTCCTATTTGTCGTTGTGAGCGCCACCTGGGACACATCCACTAAATTTTTCTGCAGACGGCGATGCTTGCTTCGTACGCCCCGGAAAACGTAGGGAAGATCACAGGGGGGCCTCTGGTGATTGGTTGCCCACCTCTCGCATGCATCGTCAGACGGTTGCATTGTTCGCATTTCGCGTGCATGCGTTCTCATGTGAGTGCATCCTTGGCATTTCGCACACATTCGCTGGTCATTGCATTGTTTGCCTTCTGCGTGCGTCCCTCGTCGCCGCAAGTTTTGGGCTCGAGCCGCAGGCTTCGGGAAAGCAGGAGGGCCAGGGTCCCACCCCCTGGTTCTTAAACCCAACCACCCGCCCGGGGTGCAGACCTGGGCTGGGCTGGGTCGGTGTCGCGTTGTGTGAGTGTGTGTGTGTGTGTGTGTGTGTGTGTGTGCGTCAGCCACCGAAGCCCGCGGCCGCTGCTCACACGCGGCCGCTGCGCCCCCCTCGGCACAGGCCCCCGGGGGAACTCGAGTCTCGTTTTCTTCAACTGCGACGGCTACCTCGAGCACTCCATCAACAGGGGAAGCAGTCGCGACCAGTTCGATCAGTTTTTCCAGACCTCCCAGGACACACGCAGAATGCGTAGTGGCAGATTTTACAGGACGCTGGCGCCTTGACGAGAGGCGCAAGCGGTCGGCCCTTTTTCTTTCGCGATGGAACGCCCGAGAGCTCTTCTGCGGCGACATGGTCAAGCGTCGCAAGAATCTTGACTTCATGGTCAAGACCTGGACGGTTGCTGGCGTGCTCGCCCTCCAGGAGGTTCACGGGACAGACGCTGAACTACAACATGCGCTACACTCTGTTCATGCCGGGGCAGCTTGCTCCGCATCCATACTGGAGAGTGCGACAGGCGGTGCGACTATCATCCTTTCTGGGTTTTCGCCGTTGCTGGCCCAGGACAAGGGGGCGTTTTCGCCGATCGATCCTGATCCCTGGCCGTGTGCGACGGCTACAAATCCGTTCTCACCTCGATCGACATGATCCGGAGCGGCTCTGAAGGTGCTGGCCATCTACAGCGTGCGCAAGTATTGCCTCGCGGAGGGCCAGGTGCGTGGGACGGTGGGCTCGATCCGCGCAGAGCTGAGCGGGGTGGAACAGCAGCCAAGCCGCATCGCGATCATGGAGCCCGGCGATTCCAACTTCATTAGCGGTGCCCCGCTCCAGATGTCGGTGCCGCTCGTCAACGAAGGCATCCCTCGGCCCCGTCGGTCAATCATTCCGGGGCGCCAGAACCTTGGACCAGGCCCTAGCAGACGTGGTGGAGCTCGACCCCGAGGTCCCGACCCGCTACGCTGAGCACTCTTGGCAGTGCGCCCTCATCGACCAGATCTGCCTGGGCGGCCCTGTGGACGCTGATCCAGTGGCGCGCCAAGGTGGGCGCGCCGAGCTCTCCCGATTCTTTCTTTTACCGAGGCATACTTGGCCGCGCCCCAGCTCCCCTGGCTGCCCTGGAATTGGGGGACTGGGTGATCCAACCGATGCCGCAGCGCACCTTCTACGCCCGTCCTTGAACCTCTAAGTCGGCGTGCTGCTCAACGTGGCCCCCATGGGCGAATAACCTCCTTGTAGCGAAACTGGCGGAGACGAGGGGGCTTCAGCATTGGGCGGCCCGCGGCGCTCGCAATGCAGTGGCCAATCATCATTCTCTGCGTTCAGCTGCTGCGCTCGCTCCGTGCCGTGCTATATCGAAGGCGGTTTGGCGAGGTGGCCGGCCCGCGGCCGAGGTCCTCGTCGCCCGCGCAATCCTGGGCGCTGGGCGCCCGGGCATCTCCGACCCCGCGAACGTCGCCTTGGTGACTTCCGCCGCTCC